CTTCTCTCCTTATTGACTCCTGAATTTCTGAATCGAAAAGACAATATATGGGGAAGGAATTCGAGCAAAATCCTTCTCTCCACACAGCAAAGTACATTTTTATTTGCATTCTTTATGGTTTGCCTTGAGTGGGGGATCTCTAATATGCTTGTAAGGGGTGTTGTGCTGACAGAAGTAGTGGAGAATATGAGTGATTCAGAATGAAAACTGGTGAGGAAACTTCATTGTTACAGAGCAGGAATGTTAGAGCTGTATCATGACCATTGTTGTGATCAGAAATATGTGGAATAATTTCCTTTTGAGAAATGCAAGGTGGACAATCTGTCCCGCTGCCAGCACCTGGACTGCTGATTCCAGGCCCTGTTTGAACACTGAATTATCTGTCCCTTTGGATTTACACTCACAGCCACAACTGTGCTCACCTGCACAAGCACAAATGCACCTCGTTCAATCTGCATTTTAATTTTATTACTCTTATTTTCCTTGCTATTCCATGGCTGTGATTTTAATGAACTCCTTTCTTCCCTCCTTATTGAATTTCTGAATAGAAAAGACAATATATGGGGAAGGAAATTGAGCAAAATCTTTCTTTCTACACAGCAAAGTGCTTTTTTTCTGCATTCTGTGTGTTTTACCACGAGTGGGGGATCTCCTTGCAAGGGATGTTGTGCTGAAAGAAGTAGTGGAGAATGTGAGTGATTCACAGTGAAAACTGGTGAGGAAAATTTGCTGTTTGCAGTCAAACAAAGTCCTCCACAGACTTCTGACTACACAACCTTTAATACAGAGAAACAGTTAATAACAGTGCAATGCTGAAGCAGAGGTGTGGAACTGCATATATAATGGAAATGGGAAGCTTTCATCATTTTCAGAACTGACAAACATAGTGGATATTTAAGTATTTCATCTTGGCTTATTATGAGCTGGAATTTCTCTGTTCTTACTGAGAACTGAATGTTTTGTGGCTCGAAAAAGCTTCAATTCCTCCAACCTGGAGGTGGATACAGCGAGCTGGGAAACACTGGAGGTGTCCTGGGTTTGGCTGGGATAGGGTTAATTTTCCTCCTAGTAGCTGGTACAGTGTTTTTGGATTTAGTATGGAAAAAATGCACCGAGATTTAGTTGTTGCTGAGCAGTGCTTCCCCTAAATCCAAGACTTTTTAGTGTCTCGTGCTCTGCCAGTGAGGAGGTTCACAAAAAGCCAGGAGGGCGTGATCAGGACGGGTGGCCTGGACTGACCAAATGGATATTCCAAACAACAGGACATCATTCCCAGGATATAACGGGGAGCTGACTGGGAGTGGCTGATGGATGCTCAGGAACAGGTTGGGTGTCAGTCAGTGGGTGGTGAGCAATTGTATTTGTGCATCACTTGTGTCTCTTGGGTTCTGTAACTCTCTCTCCTTTTCATTACCGTGCTTATTATTATCAGTAGTGTCAATGTATTAATCTTATTATTATTATTATTTATTACTATGATTATTGTTGTTGTTATTATTATTATTATTATTATTATTATTATTAAACTGTTCTTATCCCACGAGGTTTAATTTTTCTTTCCAATTCTCCTGCCTATGGATGGGCTGGGAAGGAGTGAGAAAGCACTCACAGGGTACTTAATTGTCAGCTGGGGTTAAAATACAACAGGAGGAGAAGGGAGATTATTACTGGATATGGACTGACAGGTCATATCAGTTAGAAATGATAACATGATTTTCTTTTAAGCCTCTGATTTATACCAAAATGAAGCCAGTGTGTCCTGGAAGTCTCTGCCATATGTGTCTATATGGAATTATTTGACAATTTAATCTCAGTTCTGTAATTACTCACAGTTTCATTAGTACTGTGGATATATCTGATGCAGTGGAGGAAGGTGTGTAATGAGAGTCAAAGAGGGAAGTTAAAGCCAGGATTCTGGGGAGGGAACTTTTCATAGGGGCCTGGAGTGACAGGACAAGGGGGAATAGCTTTAAGCTGAAGGAGGGCAGGGTTAGATGGGATACTGGGAAGGAATTCTTCCTTGTGAGGGTGGGGAGACTGTGGCCCAGGTTGCCCAGAGAAGCTGTGGCTGCCCCTGGATCCCTGGAAGTGTCCAAGGCCAGGTTGGACGGGGCTTGGAGCAACCTGGGCTGGTGGAAAGTGTCCCTGCCCATGGCAGGGCGGTGGCACTGGGTGATCCTTAATGTCCCTTCCAACCCAAACCATTCTATGATTCTCTGATTCTAGGAATAAAGCACAAATGTTTAACAATGTTTCCATAACAACCTGTGGGTCCAGCAGGCAGTGATGACATGGGTTGACCATTTCTTATCTTTCATGACAAGACCAGGAAATCATCTGGAAAAATACGCTTTCTCCAAGGACAAGCAGCTTGTCTGGGGTTATGTGCTAATGTCTGCTTTTCCAAGGAGTAGGATGATATCACCAGGCCCCTACTGGTAAAAACAACACAACAACCTATCTATGAGTCATGTTCTTCCCTTGATTTTCAGGCTTTGCCCCACAAAAAGTAGAATTTAAGGTAAAGGTTTAACAAAGCACTGGCTGCTATTAATGCAGGGGGTTTGTCTGCACAGGTTTGTGGGAAACACGGGACTTTGTGTCATCAGATGCCCAAAGGACTTTGATCCTCTTTGCACCATCTTTCTGTAGATCCACACAACCCAGAAGGGAGAAGGAGCCCAAATAAATTACTTAAGTTGCCTTTGAATCATCTGCTTTTAATGAGTGTTCTAAAATATATGACTCTCCTCATTAGACAGCAGTCCCTTCTGTGTCCCTGGTTGACACACTGTTATTTTTTCAACTAGTTAATCACCTATTTTGTTAAGTAAATATATGTATTTTGCCTTTGAATCCACTGAAAGTCAAGTTCCAGGTTGGATGGGGCTCTGAGTAACCTGGTCCAGTTGAAGATTCCCTGTTCATGGCAGGGGGGGTTGGAATTAGATGATCTTTAAGGCCCTCCCAACCCAAATAATCCTATGATTCTTTGTTTTGGTATTGAATTATCCATTGGGAGATAGTCTCCAGCTTCTGGGGGCTTGAAATAATGTAGCTACTCATTTTAATTTTGGGTTAAATTTAGATTCAAGTCACGTGAAATCATGCAGTAATCTAAAAATATATCTGTACATGATTCCCAAAGAGATATAAACAGCATAAACAGATACATGGTAAATCTAGTGTAGTTTTTAGTTTTTCTATATTAATGAAGAGAATATTCAGTTTTGCTACCTATGTTTAGTAGTTATTCTCCATCCTACACATGTCCAGTGAAAGCTGAAAAAGAGTCCCAGTGTATCCTCACATCAGGCCCATCTTACCTTGAGTTTGTTCCATGAAGCACAATTCTGCCTGAAAACCTTTGGAGTAGTTTAGGCAGATATTTCACACATGATTCATGAGGCTCCACTGAGTGTATTCCCTCAAACTGCTTTTTAAGAGCTGTTCTACCACAACCATTCTCCCTTTAAAACATCCACTCCTTCCACGCACGGAAGGTCGTGTCTGCTGGCAAGAACAAAGACCCAAAAAACCATAAACTCCTTAATTCTGGTGGCAACTTTCTCTGCTCCTTTAGCAACACATCCCTTCCTTTTCAAGGGGATGCACCAAATTAAACTTTCAGTGGAATTTTCCATGGGAACACGTTTCCCATGGATAATGTATTCACCAAGGCTGCAGAAAGCTGAAGAAATCCTGGGTGGCAATTGTGGAATTCATTTCACCTACTCTTTCTTTTTCTTAGGTGGTGATGCCATTTCTTGCTCCCTGCAGGGATCATTTTATCCCATTGCAAAGATCATTTTGTCCCCCTGCAGGCAGGATTTGGGACAGGAAATATTTATTTCCTCCTCATCATCTGGCTGCAGAGGGAGCATTTCAACTTAGCCTGAATGCCTGAGTTTTTGACTGCTAAAATGACTGAAATGGCTGATTGTTATTAAAATATCTGAAAATTATGACAATTTTTGATCCTTGCACCAGGAATTCTTGATGAAATACTAGCACAGGGAAGTTGTGTTCTCTTTTACAGCATCAGAGGCAAATAATACAAATATTATCAGTACAATATACCAATATTCTTATAATACAAATCAAGACTCTGCTTAGATCTCCTCTGTTGCCCAAGCTCTGCACACACAAATAAGTAAAAAAATGTGCATTAATATTATGGCCACTGGAACTCAATTGTCTGTAATTCTGAGTTTTTGGAGGGCCCATGAGCAGAGTTTTGGCTTAGGCCTCGTCTTCCACTCTCAAGTACTATTTGGGTATCAATTTATTTCTTAACTTCACAGAAAACCACTTTCAAGAGGTAACAACTGAACAGCCACGGACTTGCTTTCTGCAAAATTACTGTAAAAATGCTCAAAGAGTATTGAAACACTTTTCCATGGAGTTTTTCCCCTTCTTCCTTGAATCATGACTCTCTTCTCCAGTTACTAAGTATATCTTCTGCTGGAACACCCACCCAGAGGATTTACATTCCACAGCAGTGCCTAGGATTTTATTGTGTGATCCTACAAGTCGGAGTGTGGACTGTAGAAGTGATAAACTGTAATTTGTTTCCTTTTGGACTCATTTTGTTTTTCCTTTCCTAATGACAATTAATTAAAACAGGGAAAAAGTAACATCTGATGTCTAACCAGGTATATAGTATTTCTAGTTTTTTATGTTGCATTAGTGACACATTCATATTATGATATGTATTGACTGATACCTAATGACTCATAGGTAGATCATATTTATGCCTATTTTTATTTTTATTTTTATTTTTATTTCTATTTTTATTTTTATTTCTATTTTTATTTTTATTTCTATTTTTGTTTTTATTTTTATTTTTATTTTTATTTTCATTTTTATTTTTATTTTTATTTCTATTTTTATTCTTATTTTTATTTTTATTTTTATTTTTATTTCTATTTTTATTTTTATTTCTATTTTTATTTCTATTTCTATTTCTATTTTTATTTCTATTTCTATTTTTATTTCTATTTCTATTTCTATTTCTATTTCTATTTTTATTTTATTTTTTTATTTTTATTTTTTTTCCTCAGAAGACATCACATTTAGCTTCTAGCAAAAGAAAATAAGTCATCCTTTTCTCATTCCACCTACCAATGCTGGACTTAATGGCCCTCATTCTTCAAATGATTTATGACTGCCCTTTTCACTTTTAAATCATATGTCTGATGTCAGAAGCATTCAGTGTTTATGTAAAATCCTGTTTTATGTTAGACATCCAGGTAAAATGCCCAACACCGAAGTCTTTTTCCTGCTTTATTGACGAAGCTTGAATACAAAAATTTCCTAAGAAGTTAAACTGCAAAGACAACCCTGAAAACATCCTTCCTTCTGCAGGGAAAGTTAAATGAGTGTCAGACATGTCGTGGATTCTACACATCTATTTTTCATCACCACTTATGGTGCATTAAAGATACATTCCAGGCTCCGTAAGGGCTGGGGAATACCATGTTTGAACAGGGGGAGCGGAGGAGAAAACTGCCAGGACATGGATTACAAAGCACCAAGATTTGAGGCTCGGAGGTTATTCAGAGTGGCATTGTGTGAGTAAAGGAAGCAGCTTTGCCGCCCAGCTGCTCCAAGGATGCCAAGAGTTGTTTTAATCTTGCCAGGGGGGGCAGGATGCCAGTGACAAAAATTAACACAGTGTAACATCTGTTTTTCGTGATCGCCGCCCAAAAATGAGAAAAGGAACATTCAGTTGCTCCAATTCACTTGACTCAAAAGGACTGAGAAGGTTTTTTTTTTTAGTGTTGCACTTATTAGAATCTGCTTTTGTGCTCTGATGCTTTTCCACTCTGTTGCTTTCCCCAGCCCTGCTCCAGGCAGCCCACGTGTTTTAGGGGCTTCAAGACAACGACATTTTAGGATTGTCACGGGGGCTCCTCCCCAGTCACAATTGTTCCTGGGGTCCTGAGTGTTCCTGGGGTGACTCAGTCAGTGTTCTGGAGCCTTTCTTGGTAAAGGCCTCCTCTCACCTCCTCCTCCTCCACCAAATGTCTCAGCGAGGCAGCCAAACATATTTCGTTCTCTCTCAAGATCCTCTCCCGGGGCTCTGGCAGACACAAGTCTGTTGTAGTTCACAAGCAGCTGACAAAACATCTGTCCTACATTTCTGAAGTGCTGAACACCTTGAAGAGACGTTTGGCTCACAGCAACATGAGAACAATTTCGAAGCCATTTAAAAGCAGAGGCTCCGGGGTGGTAAAAAGTCACGAAGGCGTTTTCAAGCACAGCTGTTCAAACCTTGTTGTCTCTGTCAGGAGTGGGATGCACTGCTCCTCCTGTGCCTGATTCCCCAGAATAAGAAAGATTCAGACATTCCAGGATGTGGAATACGCAAGATTTAGCCTGTTTGGGAAAGGTGAGTTGTTCTTTGGTCCTTTCCATTCCTTTGGGGTTTTGTAGCCAATTATTCCTGTTTTAGGGGAACAGTCTGTGTAGCTGTTGGAATTGAATCTGGTCTTTCCTTCACTTTTCTAAGATCATTTGGGATGCTAATCTTACCCTCTGAAATTCTTGCATACTTTACAAGTGTAGTTGATTCCACCATTCAGAACATCAACTCATCTGAGACAGAATTGGACAATACATCCCAACTCAACACATCCTTCCATGATGTCCATGAGCCCCTTATCACCCTCCCCTGCCACAATTTTACAACTAGTTTTGTAACCATGACTGGGTAATTTATTCTAGACCAAGCATCCCTGTTTCTTTATAAAAAAAACTGTGGCAGATGGTGTAATGTCTTAATAAAATCAAAATATCTGACCTGCTCAGCTTCTTCCTTAGCCTGTGTTGATCTAATGTGGAATGAAATTAGACTGGTTTAATGCAGTGTGCTCTTGATAAAACCACTCTGGCAGCTCTTGCCTTGTATTTTCTGGTGCCTAAAGAAGTTTTTATTTTTTGAAGAGCTGAAGTTAAGGTGAGTGGTCCATAATTCACCAGTTGCTCTTCCCTTTTCTGCCAAACATCCTCTATGTTAAAGACAGGCACCACATTCACTCTTTCCAACCTGCTGGAATTTCCCTCATTCTCCATGAATTCTCAGGTAGATTTGATGTTGTCTCAGACTGTCCTCTAGTGTATTCTTTTGAGTTAATTAATTTGAAAACACTGACCTTTATGTTATACCCTACCCAGTTATAGGGCAGGATCTCCTTCTTGGTTTGAACAGCACTAGTCCCTTACCCTCCTCAGGCCTTTCCAGTGAAGGCTGAGGAAAAAAACCCACATAAAATACTCTTTATTCTACTGAGTATAACCTGTAGCTTTCCTTCCTGTTGGGAAGTGGGACAAGACTCTCCCAGCACTTCCTACTGATGCCTTTTGCAGGCTGAACTTCTTTTTGTTTCTCGGCTTCCAGTGTTGGCCCGTATTTCCTTCAGAAATTATCTGCAGTGCTGTGACACAATCCATACATGTTTTGTTCTTGTGAGGTCAATGTGAAATTCTCCACTTAGTTCAATCTCTTACTACATTTTTATGCTTCATCTGGATTCCTCTGTGTAGTGGGCAGGTGTGTGTGCCCTTTCTCTGAGGGACAGCTTCCCTTAACTGCTGTAGTTTCCTACAAAAATCCCTCAAATCCCTACAATCAACAGCTCCTTCAATCTGTGTGACTCTTCTATTACCCCCAAATGATTTAATCTATGGATGCTCCTAGATCAGGAATCTCTTTTAATTCCCCAGTGTGTTTCTTTCCTCTTCTATCATTACCTGGACACTTGTATTTAGACCCTCCCTACAAATAATAAGCCTGGATAAGCACTGAACAAACCAGTGCACAGCAGTTGCACCAGTAACTTGTGATCTTGATGTGAGATGTCCGTGCTGATGCAAAAAGACAGGAAATAAAAGGGGAATAATCAGGCTTGTTCAATGGATTGACTCATTCATGGTCTTAAACCCTTTCAGGGCCTTTTCATGAATGGCTTTGATTTTAGGTCCTTGCAAAAGTCACTGGTGTTTGCACACACCTTGAATTTGGAATTATTTAGGTTAGAAGAGATGTTCAAGATCACTGAGCCCAACCATTAACCCAACAGGATCAAGTCCACCACTAAACCACATCCCCATCAACACCTTTAAATTCCTGCAGGGATGGTGACCCCAACACTTCCCTGGGCAGCCTGTTCCAATCCTTGTCAACCCTTTCCTATGAAGGAATTTTTCCTCAAAAGTTTCTGTCCACCTTTCCTTGGTGGGCAGCTAAAATCTTCCTCCAGGAGGAATTTTATAAGCCAAGGTGTTCTTCTTTGTCAAGAGGCAGCACTGGTCTCATCACCAGCTCATGAAACACATTCTGTGGTCAAAGCAGCCACGCTCCACCCCAGTTATACCATGTGAAGATGAGCCCTGGTTCTTATCCCTTAATGAGTCTGGCCCTTCACTGAAAGATCTGGACAAGATCACGTTCCTGATGCTTATGTTCCCTGTGTTTGCCTAAGCCCTTTGCTCCAGCTCTCTGAATTCCTAATTAATTTCAATTTTTTTCTGCCTGCTGTTATGATGTATCTCTTCCTGATCTCAGCAGATGACTACTCAGGATCTGGAAACTGTGTCTCCAAAGATGAAGAGTGGCCAACTTCATCCCTCCTCTTCCTCATATGCTGTTACTGGTACTGTGGCAAAACCTTTAAACCTTTATCATCATCTAAAGATGATAATAATGATAAAGGGAGCCTACAAGACAGATGGAGAGTTAGTTTTTACAACAGCATGTTGTGACAGGACAGGGGGAATGGCTTCAAACTGAACAAGGTAGGTTCAAATTAGATATTAGGGAAAAAAATTCTTCCCTGAGAGGGTGGTGATGCCCTGGGCACAGGTTGCCCAGAGAAGCTGTGGCTGCCCCATCCCTGGATGAATCTCCTTCAGGAGTCTTATGAAATTCCATTAAGTGATATGCCCAGTGCTGTCTTTTCTCCTCTTGACCTTCATGGAAAGGGAAATGCAGCCCTTGAAAATGAAGTCCAAGCCTTGGAACGAAGAACTTGGAAAGAAGCCTTGGAATGACCTCATCTGTCACTGTCCTCAGCAGTGAGGGTCAGCAAATATTTGAGACACGAGATACGTCCTGTGGAGCCTGTGTTCATCACTCTCAGTTATGTGTATTATGATGCTCTTAAATATAACTTAAATACCCCCCTTATATGTAAAACTCCCTCCTGAAACTTGTATTTAGTAGCCCTTGAGAACTGCTGGGCTGGTGGCTCCCTGCCCAGTTGGCCTAGGTGATTTCTGCTGCTTTAAGGAAGACACTGAATCCTGCAGGGAATAAAAGGTGGGAGGTTTTGTGGCAGAGAATTGATGACTTGGGTTCTGAGAGTTGCACAGTGGTGTTAGTGAGAGGATGTTCCTGTGTCTGAAGAATTCCTCCCTCCAGGCAGCAGCAGCACCACGTCAATCTTTTGGATCTGAAGTAGCCTCTGCACTGATTTTGTTCCAGGCTTCATATGCCAGAATGGACCTTAAGGCCTTATGTGCACGTTAAATAGTGGGGTTTTAACAAGTATTAAGTATTGCTACTCATGATATTTGACCCTTATGTTTTCTATTAATCTCTGGTCAGGCACACTGGGAGAAATTCAACCCCTTCCTGAAGGAAAGGCTAAAGCTCCTTCACTGGAATGTGAGCAACTTCAAAAAAATAGTGTGTTCTCTGCTGTTCAAACATCATTCTCTCCTCCCTCCATCCCACCTTTTTCAATTTTAGTGTCTTTTATCAACTGCAGACCTAATTCTCCAGTGTATCATGCCCTGCACGTGCAAATGTTGCACATTTAAATGCTGGACCTCGGGGGAATCAATCTGATCGAGGTGGAGGATTCACTTTACCTCAGGCTGATGCCAACGTGCTGCTTTGGAGACCTGCTCTGGTGTTCCTGTGTGCTGTTCACACTCCTGCAAAGAGGTTGTCAGATTCCTCCATCCTGATTTTCACAGGTATGGAAGTGACTCTGTAGAGCTCAAGGCAGGGGAGAATCACACTTATGACACTTGGAGGCTGTTTGCAGCGGGAACTGGTCAGCTGGGAGTTGGCACCTCTCTCCAAATAGACACCTGAACGTGGCTGTGCTTGGCTCTTGAGCTGGGTTTGCATCCAGCTTTTGCACATGGGTGGTTATATAATAATGCAGCAGCCTGGAGAGACAAGGATCACTTGATGAGGGAAGTGGCAGTGGAATGGGGCCCTAAATTCCGGGATAAAGGTGAGCAGCTTCAGTGTGTGACAGCTCAGAGGATGAAGCTCTTTATCAGGGGTTATTTAGATTGGAGGATAATTGTATCAGGCAAAATGTCCATCTCTCTTTGTGTGTGTAATGAACTGCTGCAGCCCATGGAATTAATTCAGTGACCTGATAAAAACATGCACAATTGCATACTCAGTACCAGATTCCAGTGCAAGTAGTTGACTATTTGCAATAGGTGACCGTTTTTGTGACATCCAGAAATCCCTGAGTGGGTGCAGCCGTACGATCATCAGCATCATGTGAAGATCATGCTGGAAGTTTTGGAATCTCCATTCCCGGCACTCCACTGTAAGCACTGAGGGCCTGGCAGAGCAGTACAGAGCAGGTGTAGCATCTGTGTCAGCCAGGAAACTGTTTGGGACTGGGAAAACACTAATTCAGATGTGGGGCAGCTTCCCACGCCTGCTCCCATCCGTGCTGAGGAATTAGGGATAGAGTTTCTGCCTGGGACCTGAGTGCTGCATTCAGCAAATCTCTGAGCTTCTGTCCTCTGCTCTGTGATCTGTTCTGGGCACCAGTGAGAATGCATGGCATGCAAATCAAGAGTTTGCATCCCTTTTCATCACATCTTCTTTTTATGGCACTGTCAATACCGCGGAGCTGTGAGATGCTGCATCTACTGTAGGGATGCTAAACTCAAAATGTTCTCTCTGTGGGAGTTGGTAGAGGCAGGAGAGCTTCGCTTTTAGATGCTTACTTAAAAGTTCAAAAATGCTGGCAATTAAAAGGAAAAAAACATTATTTGACTTTGCACCGAGTGTGTGGCAACGGAGCACCCCGAGCCTGATGAACCTGAGGGAGGATAAACAGGTCCCTGCAACATCCCTCTCCCAGTCATTGTCCTGATGCCACAGGTTTGTTCCCTACACTAAACTCTGCTTTGCGGTGTTTTTTTTTTCAGTGAGGACTGTGTTCTTTCATCTTGTTCCCTTGCCTGAGAAGGGGTTCGGGTTAATAAGGGTTGTGGTTGCTTTTTTGTTCGGAAAATGGAGTTCTCTGTCTGCCTGTGCTCGCTGCCCTGAAGTGGGTTTTTTTAGCTCTTCTTAGCCCCTCACCCTCATTTTTTTGAGGACAAAATGTGTCATTCCAGTAGGACACAGAATATATCATTCCATTGTGGAAACAATACCCATTTCAGGGCTTGTGCTAAAGAATGGAATTTACTCCCTTCTAATCCGGGCAAATTAGAATTTTCCTACTCCTCAAAACGGGATAATTCATCCACTTGTCACTATACTTTTATAGCCCTGAGCTTTCTCGTTAAAATACATTGAGGAAAAGGGAAAAACACCTTCAGGAAGGATGTGGGAAGTCCATCCAAGTGTGGAAGGGTGACCATGGCACATTTTCAGAGGCCCAGTGGGGATAAAAGGCTTTGTTCAGCAGCCTTGACAAACTGAATGAAGAAGAAGTGATTTTTTGTTGTTGTTGTTGTTGTTGTTGTTGTTATTGCTACAAATATGAGGAGCAGGAGAAGGAGCAAAGGGAAAAGAAGGTGAGGGAAAGATCAGCCACTTGAGGGGGAGTAAATAATATTTAGTTTATTTCAGTACCCGAAACAGCTCTGGTGGCCTCGTGTATGGCCTAGAGGTGTTTGTATTGATGAAGTTAAGAAAGAAACTGGAGTTAACAGTCCAAAAGCAAAGTGCAGAAAGGGTTTATTTGTTTCAGAATTCCTTGTAATGCTCTTGCTGTGCTTTTATTAGTGGACCAAAGTGGCAGTAGTTTAAGTCAAGTCACTGCTGTAGCATTCAATCAGAAATTTGACTGACTTAGGGGAAAAAAAACCTGATTATGTGATAGTTAATGCAGTTAATTCACATTTTCAATTATAACCCAAAAAGGATATGTCTATGAGGAAGATATCACTGTGCTCAAGTTCCTCCACAAAGATTGATACAGATGACAAAATGTAATTAAGGGTTTCAATTTATTCCCAGTGAAAAGAGTCAGGGAACTCTCATTCACTTCAAAAGCAGCCTCCACCTTTTATGTATGAATAGTATCAGAAATATACACTTGAAAATATCAGAAGCAAACCAGGAGGACCTAGAAATAACTAATCCAAAATTTCTATACACCTGTGTATTATTGCATATGCCCTGTGGACTTTGCAACAACAAACATTTGCCAAGTGAATGATTAAACTCTTTCTCTTTTATTCACCCTTGTTTTGTTGCAAAAGGAGTTAAAAGTTTCTCAAATTACCCCTATTCCACTATGAACATGAACACAGAAAAGAAGACAATTAAAGTATTTAGTGAGGGCAGGAATTTTATGAAGGAAAATTCCAAACCCAATTCTTCTGCTGTGCACCTACTTTCTGCACGAAAAAGCTTTACAAATGAGATATAAACCTTCCAGAAATATGACACAAGTTTGAAAAATATTGCCAAGAAATCACCCGGTGATGGACTATTCACACAGAAAATCAAGTTATGCCCTGGGAATTCAAGCCAAGTGAGCAGCAAGAGACAAGGGTCATCAAAGTGGAAGGAATTAGGAAATCTAAAAATTAGAATGATGAACATGAGAACATTTAAAATCAAAATACATGAGAAGTTGTCCTGTGACTGTAAACACGAAAATTGTATATTGTCCTTTTAAGAAAGATAATAAGGTGGATTTAGGGAACAACAAGCTGATTATCTTCTCTTCAGTCGGGAGAACTATGGAAAATATTCTCAAAAAGCTATTTCCAGACACATGAAATAAAAGAACATGGCCAAGACCATGCATTTTTGGGGGAGAGAAACTTTTTAAACTTTTTTTTTTTAAACTTTAGTTCTAACAGTTCTAATTTTGACCTCTCTCTGCATCAAACTACACTGTTCTCCTCCTTTTTGCCTCCCACATCAGTGTGTGAGACTAAGCAGAAGTGCTAAATCTACATTATTGATTATGGCTTTAATAATTAAAGTTATAACTGGAGAGTAGGGTTTGAAGTTTAGCTCTGTTCGATTTTTTTGGGGTGTGTGTGGTTCTTTTGTTTTGTTTTTGGTGTGGGTTTTTTCATAGTGGTGCATCTTTACCAGTGATGCTCAACTTACTTTGAGGGCCAGCTCACAAAATCCAGTTTTTGGAATGTGACTGTGCTGAACTGAGGAATATGTGCTTTGGGTCCAGCCTCACTCAGTTTTACATTTCAGTGAAATGAAAAGCTTCCCTGGAGCCAGAAATCGCTGCAGAAATTCAGAGTTCTCCCTCTGTGTAATTTGCAAACAGTGAAGCCTGATTTTTCTCCCCCTTCTGCTCGGAAGGAGGTGCCTGAGGCCTTGTTTTCAGGAACAAAATGAAGATTTCTTGTCATTTCGGTTGCCACTGTTTGCTCTCACCTTTTCCAACTGCACAGCCCAGCTCCTCAGATGGTCTTTGCCTTGGAAATTATGGGATAGCTCTGCCTACACATCTAATAGAACATCACTTGGCCTTTTAGCGGGCCTGCAACTCTAGAATAGAAGTTTTGATCTAATGTTTGCTTCCTACTGAAAATGTCCTCTTTACACGGGATTTAGTCCA